CTCATCTCTTCATCTCTCTCCCCCTTCGTTTTTCTCTTTCTCTTCCTTTATTATGATTATCATTATTATATCATTACATCATCCTTGAACCTGATTGGCTGGACCTACACATCTTCGAACCTGTAATTTGGGGGAATTTCTTTTAAAAACAGAATCAAGCAAAATGGAATCTGTAAGTAAAAAAGAAAAAAATCAAAAATGATACTAATAATATTGATACTAATAATGATGATTACAAAAACAGTGGTAATAATAGTAATACTAATATTAATGATACCAGTAATAATGAAAACAGTAACGAAAATAACAATATTCCTACTATCACTACAAATAACAATAAACAACATTAATGATAATATCAGTAATATCAATTACTCTCATCATTGTTCTTTTTTTATTATCATTATCCTTCCCACATTGATAATGAAAATACTAAAAATAAAAAAAAATATTAGTAATAATTTCTTTTTATACCAATAATAATCATAGTGATAATATTAATAATGATAAGAAAGAAGCACAATTATCATGATGATTTCAATATCAATGATATCAACATTGATATCAACATTGATAATAAGAGCATTCATATTCAATTACAATGAAAATTATTACATTCATAACACAAATAATAATAACACTACCAAGTTCTAATAATCATAAAAATGAAGGGTGTGTATTACGAAGGGTGCTGCCTCTGCGCCTGAAGGCAAAGAACCCACCACGTATGTTCGGCAGGAAAGAACGCACGAGAATCACCTCCCAGCTGCGCCACCTTCTACATCTGCAGCATTTATCAATCAGGTTAGTACATCAAAATTCCTTATAACTTCAGCGTCTGCCCTGCATGTCGGTCATAAGCTCTATCTTGGTGTTGCATCTTGACGTGAATATGTGAAGGATTCTTTGTTATCGAGGATCTTTGCAGTTGTTTGGGTGGTTTCTGAGAGAAATTTTGGCTCATATTCCCCATATCATTGTATTATTATTGTTATCATTATTACTATTATTATTATTATCATTACTATCTTTATTTTATTGTTATTTTCACTTTCTTTCTTTTTTTTTATAAGCTACCATTTTGCAACCGTAAACATTGTGGAAGTTTGTTGTTCTTTGCTGGAGCACCAACTGGAGCGACAGCAGCAGTTATTGGAGTGCCATCTAAACCCTTCCTATAATGATCGACTATAAAACCTAAAATAAGAATTTTCAGCAAACACAACATAACTGGTTCAAACTGTAGGTAATCAATTAAAAAAATAAAAATTACAGCTTTCAAAATGCCTCGACTGCACTTCACACAAGCAAATGACAACAATCTCCTCGAAACAATGTGGAACGAGAAAAGATTTAATTAATGACTTTTTATCGAAGAAGGAACGAATCGGAACTCTTACCTTGCGAAAATATTATAAGAGGAGGATTGTTCACCTTTGACAGTGCAATCATATTCCGATAACAAATCTAATCATATTAAATAATAAATATCTGATAATTAACAAATTTAATTTATATAATTATCTATAAATTCGTCATTCCCTCCTTCCTCTACCTCGACTCTCTTCTCTTTTTATTCTCATGCTCACAATCCTTCAAAATCCCAATTTTTTTCGTCGTTCTTCCCTCCTCCCCTTCTACATTCACTTCACTTACGTACCTATTTCCTTCTTCCGCCACTTCGCACTCCCCTCGGAGTTATTTCGAGGTAGAAATCACAGAGAAAATAGCAATGGGCGAGGCAATTAGTGATAAAATAGCCACTTATCAATACTAAACCGATGAAAGCTGCGTAATTTATGTGAATCCGGGTCGTCTGTCGGGCCAAAG